TGGCGTTACACTTAATCATTTTTAGCTTTTGGAATTATTCCAGTGTTCTTTTGATTAGGAATTTTGGAGGGTCTTTACCACATAAACATAATTAACATAGAAGAAAGATTGATAGCCAAAGTTCAATTTTTTATCTTCTTTGTTCCAGACACGATGTACAATTCAGGCCACCACCACCACCACCACAAGCAAGGAGCACCAGTCTCACCAGATAGTGCCGCAGCAGCAGACGTTTTTGAGCAGCTGTGCACTGCCTCCACCTTTAAGTCAGTTCTCTACCACTACCGCCTCTTGTGCGATGTCCTCAGGCTCAAACCCACCAACTTCAGAAACTTCTATCCCAAGCTTAAGGTAATTATCATGATTTTTGTGTCATTCTGTGTTTGTAAATGTCTCTATTGCTTGTACAGATATATGGATATAGATATATTTGAACATATAGATAAAGTATGTTTAAGATGGAGTGAGTGTTGATGTCACATGATAATGATAATGAATTATCATTACTCTTATTTATGTGTTCTTTTCATATTTCAGTCAAAACTCCGGTCTTGGAAAGCACAAGCAATATGGAGTAAATTTGATAAACGGTCTAGTCATAAATGCTACAATCATGGCAAGGCCTGCACTAACAGTAAGGTATGTAGAAAATATGGTCAGCATTACCACAGACAGTGTATTTACTATGATCATTATATTTACTGTAATCAGCATATTTATAAAGTACTGTAGTACAAAGTTCTGGGATTTATTTTTTCTTTGTTGTGCTCCAGGTCCTGATTATCGGAGCAGGTCCCTGTGGCTTGCGCACTGCCATTGAGGCTCAACTTCTTGGTGCAAAAGTTGTGGTGGTGGAGAAGAGGGACCGTTTCTCTCGAAATAATGTCTTGCATCTCTGGCCTTTTGTCATCAACGACCTCAAGCAATTGGGGGCTAAGAAATTCTATGGCAAATTCTGCGCGGGAGCAATCGATCACATCAGTAAGTTGTTCGTTTTGTTGTTGTTTTTTTGCTTTATTAGATGATTGGCCATCAGTCTTGTATGATATATAGGCAAAGGTGAAATGGTTATGTGATGAAATTTTAATTATACTCTGTTTGATTGGTTAGCTGTAGTCAATACTTGATTTACTTATTACTTACTTACTTTTGTATATGTTAATTTTTTTGCCTCTTTCAGGTATACGGCAACTTCAATGTATACTGCTGAAGGTAGCATTGCTGTTAGGTGTGGAAATCTATGAAAATGTAAGCTTTGAAGAGCGCTCACAGAACCTCCAGAGGACCAGAATGAAAGTTAGTATAGAATCATATTTACTTCAAGGAAGAAAAGAACCTTATACATGCATATTTTCTATTCTTATACAGATTTTTATATCACTGTGTCTGTAGATTGTTTCTCTATGTATTTTTGTACCTATGAATGTTTCAATGCAATGTTTTAATGTGCCTTAACTTGTTCTAGAAATTGGATGGCGAGCCAGACTCAGCCCGGCAGACCATCCTGCCAATCAGTATGAATTTGATGTCCTGATTGGTGCAGATGGCAAAAGGAATACTTTACATGGATTCAAGAGAAAGGAATTTCGTGGCAAATTGGCCATTGCTATTACAGCAAATTTCATCAACAAACGCACAGAACTTGAGGCTAGAGTGCAGTAATAACGTGTTGATATGTAGTGTTTTTAGAGTGTCTTTGGCAGATATGTTGATAAGGTTGGTGCTATATATTTTATTCGTAAGAGAAAGAAATATTGCTACATGAATATCGTTTATTGACTTCAATTTCACTCTTTTCTTAACAGGAAATCAGTGGAGTAGCTTTCATCTTTAATCAGAAATTCTTCAAGGAGCTATATGCAGCTACCGGCATTGACTTAGAGAACATTGTGTACTACAAAGATGAAACACACTATTTTGTGATGACAGCAAAGAAACAGTCACTTATTGAAAAGGGAGTCATTTTACGCGTAAGTTTTTAAGATTTATGATTTCTTTTGTTGAGATATTAATTGCATGGATAGTTTATGTTATGCTATATGTATAAAGAAGTAAAAGCAGAGTGAAACTGTTTTAATAATTTATTTTTTCCACATCAAAAGGATCTTCAAGACACTCAACAGCTTTTACATCCAAGCAACGTAGACCGGAATGCTCTCATGGAATATGCTCGTGAAGCAGCAGACTTTTCCACAAGCTATCAGCTGCCACATCTGGATTTTGCTGTTAATCACTATGGCAAGCCTGATGTGGCAATGTTTGATTTCACATCCATGTTTGCAGCAGAGAATGCTTGCAGAATGGTGGAGAAGAGAGGACATAAGCTCCTCTCTGGGCTTGTAGGAGACAGCTTGCTAAGGTAATGTTTTGTTATGCTTCTGTTTCAAATTGTTCCCATAGATACCCTTGGTGGTGATAAAAGAATACATAAGGTAGAAATGAAGAAATAGATCAGATTATTCAGTATTTTTTATTTTTGTTCAAGTTTCATAATGATTGTGAATTTTATATTATATTTATTCACTCATATGCATATTTACTGTTTTTTGTTGCAGCCTTTCTGGCCAACGGGGTCAGGCTGTGCTCGAGGCTTTCTAAGCAGTTTCGATGCTTGCTGGATGATTCGCTCATTTTCATCGGGGAAAATGATGCCTTTAGAGGTGCTTGCAGAGAGAGAGAGCATTTATCGGCTTCTTGCACAGACTACTCCTGAAAATCTCAGTAAAGTAAGTTTTTAGGTTATGTGTTTCTAAATTTCCTTGGGGGATTCTCTTGTATTTTGAATAAGGCATACAAATATGTTTCTAAATTAAGAACTTGAATTGGTCAATTTGATATTCTTGTGTTTTTTTCTTGTTTTTTTTCTGTAATGAGTATTTAGCTTCTCGCTTTTACAAAGTTCTCTATTTTCTGTCTTATTAATTATATTTGAGGGTTCCCAGTAAACTATGTAATAGTAATACAAGGTAATGCAAATAATAGAAAGTAATACATTCATTAATTAATTACTGATTCTCTTACAGATCACTCTTCCTATAGCTTGGACCCAGCATCAAGATACCCAACCATTAACCTGCGCGCGGTGCTTCCCTTCCAAGTGCGCACTCTGTTCAACACTGACGACCCTGTTCATCTGGAGGAGATAACGAACCCGCATCTGGTCAATAATGATGAGTTGCCGAAGAAGAGGAAACGTAGAGGTGTGTAGTTGCATAGCATGATAGATGTTTGGCAAAAATGTGAATGAGAATGAATATTTTTCACAGGGAAAGATATGTAATTGATGCTCTGATATCATCATCATGTAATTTGATGCATTACTTACTCATCTAGTACTGTGAAATTATTCATCCTCATTCTGTATGCAAAGTAGATATTCAGTAGAAGTTCAAGAATACTAATTCTTTTATCTGTAAATGTTCATCAAATTTATCTTGATATTAAATTGATGGATATATTGGATATTAACCTTTGCCAAGTACAGTAGAGAAGAATTTTAATTCAACAGTAGGAGTATAAAGGCTTCGATTTAGCTTAGGCATGGCTTATCTTTACTTAGGAAAGTATTGAATTTTGCTTTCTACTAATCTTGAAAACTGCTTTTATCCTCTTGAAAAATCTGATAATATAGTTACTTAGAGAGAGAAAAAAACTTGTACTTTTGATTTTTCCATGTGGTCCTGGCTGGCTCAGCAGTAAAGGGTAAATAATATACTTAATGAATGCATTCCTGTATAGTTGCATGTGTAAAAAGATAGCTTGCATGGTACTTATGTTACCTACGTCAAGTTTCCTTTAATTTTTTTTTTTTTTTTTTTTTTTTTTTTTTTTTTACATAAATAAAATGTTATCTCCCTTGTTTTTCTTTCCATTATGTGTTCTTCCTCTTTCCTTCTTTCCTCCACATTGAATGACTTTGGAAAAATGTTCTGTGCATTTATGGTCAGAAATAATTGCATAATAATTGCATGTCCTTTTTTTTCTACACAAATGGATTGATATTTACTATCCTATCTGCTATGGGAGCTTAACCTCATGTAGAATGATGAGAGTGTTGTTTATAAATAGAATGTTACTTTTTACACTAGGTTGTTGAAGGGATCTTTTATTTAAACCTACATTTGAAAAAGTTAGTTTGATATGCCCTTTATATAGTACTGAATTTTCTAAAGATTTTTCTATTTATTATTTAGATATTCATTCTTTATGCATTGAATTATCCTGTGATTTTAGCAATATTAGTTTTTTAGGGGTATGATAGGGGAAATAGAGGAAAGTTGCAGCAGATGTTATAAGGTTGCCTGAATTTATTGAAAATATCAATTGATAAAGCATGGCAGAATCTCCTATGGAGTTTTTTCTTGTAAATATTATGGATGCAGTTAGATAATATTGTTTAGTTTTACTTGATTGCATGAGACAATTACATGCTCTGGTTTTCATCTAGCTAGGGTTCCTTCTTTGTCTTTCCTGTTACCTTATCATTTAGTGGAATTTTGAATGTGTAAATGTGTTAGCTATATGCACTCATGCACATACATTTACACTAACACATATAGAGACAAGCATGGACTTATACAGATGCACACTAGCATGTATGCACACACATGGATACATATTCACACAAACTCACACATGCATGCTCACACTCTCTCTCTGGTATACACATTATGTGTACACACACACACATACACACTCACACATACGTACATACATAAACATACATCTTTATATATGTATATATTTCTTCTTCTTGATCTTTTTTATAAACGTTTTTTGGGAACATAGATTTAAGTTTTTTAGTAAAGCATAAAGTGCAGTGTAGTATCTTTAGTTTCTGTGTTGAAAATTTTAAAACATTTTTTGTGTAAAGAATTTTGTTTCAGAATTATTTTCAGATTTAACCAATAAGATATCCATGAAATATAAAATAATTTTATATACACTGAAATATGTAGGCATTAAGTATGGCATAGGAGGAAAGCTCATTTTCTGCCTTCCTCATAATCCTATTCCTAAATGTCGCTTTTTTTTCCATCAGATTCATTTATACATCCCGATACCTTACTCATTTGGTGCAAGAAACAAGTGGCGCTTTATGACTCTATCAGTATTGAAAATATGACCACCTCCTTTAAGGTATGTTATTTATTGCTCTCACTACCTTTTGATGTTCTTAGTGATAGTGATTACAACTCTTTGGTGTTTGTAGTAATATCCAGTTATTTGTGAATGAACCTGATGAGGTAATGGTGTGTTATTTTTCCAGGATGGTCGGGCTTTGTGTGCTATTATTCATCGCTACCGTCCTGACTTGATTGATTTTGAGGCTCTGCGACCTGAGGATATTGCTCAAAATAATCAGCTAGCATATGATATCTTGGAGAGGGATTTTGGCATCCCACCAGTGAGTCTTGAGAGTCTTTATTGTTTTGGGTAAATTGAATTCCAGCTCTAAGTTGACTCAATATTCTTTGGTTTTGTACCAATTTGTATTTAATTATCGTTTTGTTTTTATAGGTAATGACTGGACGAGAGATGGCAGAGTGTGAGATTCCTGACAAATTAAGCATGATTTCATACGTCTCTCAAATCTATGATGTCTTCCGGGGGGAAATTCCCCATATAAAACATCCAAAAATGGTAAGTGAAAGTGTGAATGTTTTCTGTAATTATTTTATTGATTTTATGTTTATAAAGCTTGATAGCGTATATATAGTTTTGTCTTTTTTTTTATGTCAGAGCCAACAAACTTATTTTTTCAAGAATAATTTAGAATATCAAAGAATGATTTAGCTTTATGTACATTAAAGATGAATTAGTATTCAGCAGTTTTATCAAAAAAGAAAAGAAAGAAAGAAAAAAAGCCAAGAACTGACTTATTTTTCTAATATGTTTTCCCTCCTCTAGGATGATGGAGAGATGGAAATTGAACAATCCCATATCCAACACAGCACGCCTCATGTCAACATCTTGAAAAATCTCACAAACAAAACAGCCAATGTGTCTCAGGGTACACCAACCTCTAAGAAGAGATCGACGTTAGAAAGAGGAACTGCTAAAAGGTGAGTGAAACTGCTAAAATTTCATGCTCATGGATATGTGTGTGAGAGAGGGAGAGGGAATTTTCCTCTTGTTTTAGGCAGTAATGGGTCTTACTTGATAGAATTCTTATCTATGGATTATGAATCCTCAGAGATGATGGTCGCATCACGTGTCGCTTGATGGATGATGCAGGTGGCCAAGGCGGGAAGTCAGACACACTCAAGAAGACAAAGAAACGAAGGAGTGATAGGGTTGTATCTCCACAGGTAAGTTGACTAATTATTTTTCTACCAGATAATAGATTCTTCCCAGTTTACTTTAGTTCAGAGGGAAAGGGAAGAATAGAAATGGTGTTTTAAATAGAATTTCTTCAAGACATACTTTAATCCTTAGGAAGGAAGGGTTATAAACTGTTGCAGAAAGGAGATTGATAATCACCCAGAGGAGGAGGTCAGTAAAAGGAGGAAACTGTCTTGTTGAATCCCCTTGCCTGCTTCAGGAAATTTTATGCCTTAACCACCATCAGGATGATCCTGAGTCTCGTCAGCGTCGAGAGGAAATTCTCGCCAACCGGATTGAGCGCTTGAGAAAGCAGAAGGAAAGGCGGGAGCTAGACACAGTGCGCTTCATCCGCTCAATGCAGATGTTGCAGTGTGGTGCCCACCCTCAAGCCCCAGTCCAGGCCTCATATGACAAAGATGAGGATGAGGGACTAGTGGAGTACAGGAAGAATTGCCCAAAAACCATGAAAGAAAAAGTATTAGATCTAGAGATGAAACTCAATTACCACTTCGTAAGGAAATGTTCATGGGTGTGGCATGGCGTGATTTTTTGTGACATGTAACGACTAAGAGTAGCCTAATCCTCATCGAATTTGAGTGGATATTCTTTGGCAATAACAACATTTGTTCTTGTATTAATTTTTTTGTTTTGATTTTCCCCCCATTTTTGTTTTCTTTTTTAGATATTTTTAGGAAATGTGTTATGCACTAGAAATTTGTAATTTGATGTTTGTTTTATTGTTTACTGCTGTTTTTTTGTTTGTGAACTAATAATGTATTCTCTCATTTAGAGTGTGACTACTAGTAATGTTTTGATCAAATGATACTGTATTACATTATCTGGTTCACTTTTTTGGCCATCGTAATTATTGTTTTCTCCATTTAGCTTCTCTAATGTTATTTAGATATTTATGTTGAGCATTATTTATGGATTGTATTAGTGAACCTAACAAAGCTGTCCATACCAACAGGAGAGACAGGGGCGTGAGGAGCCACAGAGGAAAGCCTTAGTGGACCACAAAGAAGAATTCTCTGACAAGGTCAGAGATCTTGAAGCCAAATTTACTGCCAACTCTTCTTCTCAAGCCTCTGATAAAAAGCCAAAGGTCAGCATATGTTTGTATTGGCGTCATTTTGCACATCTGCTTTAATTGGATTCATTGTGCATTGTTGTTATTATGCTGGATGATTATTTTGAGAGAATATTTATGGCAAGTTCAGTTGTTGCTTCCACTTTAGAATGTTCTTATCACTTTCATGTGCTTTAAGGTGGTAGGGTCATAAGATCCTTGCCTTTAGAAGGACTTTGCTACATTAGAAGTAGCAAAACCTTATTATGTTTTAGTTACATCATTTACAGATTTGTTAGAAATTATTTTAGGCCTTCAGTTTGTGAAATAAATGTATTTAAACAGAAGAATGTAAGAAAGTATACCTTAAAATTAAAGAACAGATGTTATTGTATTGTTTGGTGTAAAATTGTCTACCCATAACTATGAGCAATTCTGGGTTTTGACTCTTGTCCTGATATATTTTTCCTGTATTTCATCCCTATCTTCTATGTTTGTATAAATTACCTGAATACCATTCCCTTTATAGATGTGTACATGTTTATGATTCAAATTGCCTACAGACAATTCTAATTTTTGAGAATCTCGTTGATAGTTACTGATGTATTATATTTTACGTGAAATCTGTACTTGGAAAAATCTCATCTTTCGCAGTCATAAAAAGCAGATCTGAGCGAAGGAAACCGGTTTTGCTTTGATTATTAATTTTTGCTTACATATGTTCATTTAGCACAAACACAAATTATAGATGCTTCATGTTCACATGTTTGCTGGGCATTACAGATTTTTTTTGAAGGGCCATTACCTGCACCTGCACACTTTTGCTTTACTTTTAGTTTTCATTATTAATTTTTTAGTTTCATAGCCTCCCTTTGTTACGAGTCCATTATACTGCTGTTTGTAGAGTAGATTGAAGAGAAACACTCATGTGAATGATTCTATATTTAGGACCTGATTCGTGCCATTGGTAAGATTGAGAAGTCTGACTGGAATATGGTGGCTATAGAGAAGAAGATGCATGAAGATAGATTTGGCATGGAAGTACAAAAAGAAAGAGAAAGGGTTCCCAAGTGGAACAGAGATGCATACGATGACAAGGCCGACAAGGTAAGTCTGACATAAGAGATGGAGGCTTGAACCAGCTTTTATTGGGTTCAGCCTGAGACCTGAGCTTTAGCAGTAGTCTTTTTTGTAACGTATTACATAAAGAATAGAATGATTTTGATTCTTTTGATATTTCTTTTCATGAATTTAAGTTATTTTTAGTTATTTTTGTTTAGTTTTTTTTTTATGCCAGTTTTCTTCCTGTTTATTTGTTTGAAGCACATTTTTTTTTAATGGTTGAGATTACCTCTTCTTAATTGATTTTTTTTCTTGTTTTGAGAGCTTTGTTATATCAGGATTTTTTCACTTTTGATTATTACATAATTATATATTACATGATATTTTGGTATTCTCACCCCAGTTCCAAAATATTGAGAGGCGGCTAAGAGAAAATGGTGAAGATGAAGAGACAATTGCCAAATACAGGGATATTGATGCCTCTCTGAAGCGCTTAGAAATGAAGTTGCGCGAGGGATCCACACTCGAGACAGGCCTGCGTGGACAGAATAAGGTGTCTAACCTAGCATCTCAGCTGTCTTCCAAGTGGGAAAGGAAGGAGACAGAGAAGATCCCAATTACCCGACAAGTAAGAATGACAGGAATTGTTGTTGGGTTTGAGAGTAGGCTCTGTTTTAGGAAATGACTAAGTCTTCCAGTATTTGATATTGCAGAAAAAGTTGATTTTTTAAAAAGTCTTTTCCACTTTCTAGTCTTGGTTTTGTACTTGGTGATAAGTTTCCTTTGGTATTTCAGCCATCAAGACCAATGGTGCCCTTGCCAACTTCTGGATCTGATTTGTGCCACTTCTGTGGTAACCGTGTGTATCTTGTGGAGAGATTGAGTGCTGAAGGAAAGTTCTTCCATAGACAGTGCTTTAAGTGTGACTACTGTGCTGCTAATCTTCGCCTTGGTAAGTCTGTGGTGTTTTCAAAATAATAGTTTTACCTGTGTGATGAGAATGGTAAATAATGGATGAGTTTTTTTTTTTTGCTAAATACGAAGTAGAAAACAAGTTTTTTTCCAGTCTTTCATCAATAAACAAATCTAAGATTTCTTAAATCCTTCCAGGTAATTATATATATGACCGTGAGGGAACATATGGAGGCAAGTTCTTCTGCATACCCCACTTTGGTCTAACCTCAAGAGCCAGAGGTGTAAGGCGGAAGGTTGAGGACACAGACAGTGCCAAAGAAAACATTGTACCACCTGCTGCTTCAAGCACACCACAACCTAAAGTCCAGGTTAGTCCTTTGTTGCAGTATGTTGTTAAGATATATAGTAACTATGGATGTAGGCTTATATACATCTCTGTTCTTCAGGATTTCTCTATTACTTCACTTTTAAGCTTTATTAAGATTAATGAACTGCTATTTTTATTTAACTTTCTATACCAAGTGTATGTAACCATTGAATACAAGAGCTGTGTTGTTTCATGCAAATAAATATTGTATTGATGATATCTGTATCATGATTTCAGTTTTGTACAGAAGGGCATTTTTAGATATAACAGTTTAGCAGTATTGTTTTCAGCTGAACAGTGTTTTCTGTTTCTTCTTTATAATTGATTCAACAGTTGATCCATGTCCAAAGTAAAAGTGGAAGAGAAGCCTATTTAGATATATATTCTGACATTGCTCTGCTCCTTTAGTGATGTGTGATTGGAATCATGTTGTTAGTTTGTCGTACTGTGAATTTACTTGTGAAAGTAATAAGATGGGTGAAAGAAATGAAAGATAGGAGAAGTAACTCATCAAATAGAAATTAACCCAATAACACCAGGTAAAAAAATTGGCAAGTGGACATAGTTGCGGGTTTTTTGGCTTGCATTGACAGTTTTTTTTGTTTGCACTCTGCGCATTCAACAGTTTGCAGGCAACATTGGGCACCTAAAAGCTTGTATTTTGATAGTTATAAAAACATATCAGATTTTTTCAGGTTTACCTTCACTTTAGGCCCTATTTCCTAAAAGTTTTACCATAGAAATGATGCCACTGCTTTCGGAGAAAAACAAGCTCTGTCCAATGAGATGACAGCGTGGGAAGGATTGTGTGTGATGCCACCTGCTACTTTGTCCACAACAGCCATGGCATTTAAGTACACCTGGCAGGAAGTGGTTAATTCAAATTGTGTTGAGAAAGAAAAATTCAAGTATTATCAGAAATATGCTTCTTTCAAAACATTTTATTTATGGACAACAACAACAACAAAAAATCCACATAATTAAGGAGCAGGGCAAATGATATGTTTCTTTTCATGTATGTATATGTAAATAAATAAGATATACATATATTCAACTAAATATATATAAACATATACATACGCATATTCAGAATAAAGTATACATACATCTGAACACTCACACCTTTCTCTCTCTCTCTCTCTCTCTCTCTCTCTCTCTCTCTCTCTCTCTCTCTCTCTCTCTCTCTTCTCTCTCTCTCTCTCTCTCTCTCTCTCTCTCTCTCTCTCTCTCTCTCTCACTCTCTCTCTCTCTCTCTCTCC